GTTGAGTCTTTTACATGCTGAATTAATAAAGACCATGTAACAGCATTTTGCTCAAGGTTTTGCCTAGTTCAATTTTTTTCCTGATTCCTCTTGCATTCATGCAAAGCCTACTTGTAACTCAGTGCACATACTGGAAAGATTGAGGCTGATGTTGAACTCTGGTGAGCCAAGGATTGTTTTTCAAACTCTAGTTTGGTATTACAACTCTTATGCACCATGATATGGCATAAGCAGTTTGCAGTTGCCTCCTCTCTTGTGGCAAATATCCCTGTATCACAGTTTCTCAGCTTCCCACAGGAAAATTCTGTTCCTTCTGAAGTTTTGGATGAAGCTCTTATCCCAATATAATTTACACTGACAGACTTCAAATATTTTAGGAAATTTAAAAAACCATCACCTGGAAAGTTATCCAGTACGTGCAATTGACTAGCAGATTGCATTTTCAGGGCTCTGTGAGATGATGTTATCAACTCCAGGTTAAGCTGTGCTGGTTTTCTTATTCTAGTAGGCATTTGATAGCTGAGAGCTAGCAGTTATTATAAAAGCCCCAAAACATACAGTGTCTCTAAGAGTCAAACAGAGAAACTGAACATGAGATTATGAGTTCAGGGGGTAAAAAAAGGCTCATTGTTTCCCTCTGTAATCAGGAAACAAATTAAGCTGGGAACACTGCTTCTCTCTCCAGCTCTGAATCTAGTGAAACCAATCTAAAGGCTGCTGAGTTGATACATCTGGGAAAACCGGAATTTTTTCTATTCCAGGAAATATATAGTAAAGGACAGTCCCCAACAAGCAGACTTCAAAGATTACATAGGGAACAAACCAACCTTCAAATGAACTCAAATCCTTAAGGGACTAATTCCACATTGCATTTTATTGATGTAGGCTTTACAAAGGCTATGAAGCCTCAGCAACAGGTGTGCCAAACCTTTATAAATTTGACTTGCAAATAGTTCTTTAGGTGTAGTCTAAATTAATCAGCAAATGATGTACTGAAAGTGATGCTTCTTTGCTTACCTATTCAAGCCACACAAGGAAGACTCTATAAAATTTAGTTTACCTGCATCACTAGAACAGGATTCATCACTAGAACAGGATTCATCACTAGAACAGGTAATCATCAATTACAGGGCTAAAAAAAGCCTGCACTCATACACTAAATTTATACTGTAGAGTAAGGATTGGGATTAACTTGTTTTAAAGGTGCAGGATCCCCTGCCAGAGACAGCCTGAGCACCCAATGTGGTTTGTGCATCTCTAGGTGGCAGTAGCTGCTCAGATTTTGAGATACTCTGAGATGCTTATCTCAAATTTGGCAACCAGTATCCTTCCATCCTCCTAGAATTGCCTTTCCTAACGTGAAATGTGACCCCCCTCCCCCATTTCTTCATAATTTATAGTAGTCTGTAGCTGAGTCACAAGGATTTCTGCATTTTCCTAACCAAGTACACAAGAAAAGAAATGAACTGCCAAAGGATTGAGGTAATTTATAGCGTAAAGCATTGAGAGCTTCTAGTCGATCAAAGGACTCAGAGAAACAAATATAAGAACAATCATGCCTTCTGTTCTCTACAAATGCCACGGCCAGAAATAACTGTCCTAATTAACTGGTTTCAGAAAATGACTTCTCTGAAAAATACAATATTCTTACCAAGGAAAGTATACAACTGCTACAGTCTTATGGCAGCTGTCAGCAGGGCATGAAAAATCACCAAATGAAGTTTCCTTTTGCTTCCTCTGGTTGTGCATGGTACCCATCTCTAGACAGTTCTATCTATTCATGGTGCCTAAATAACGCTGCAATGGGACATTCTGCTACCACTAGTATCAGTGTTACCAAGAATTACAATCACATCAGGTCAGTACCACCCTCTGTCCACTAGTTATAAAGGGTAGACATTGCACCTGACATGAGGTTGGCTGGTTTGGTTTTTGCTGTTGCTTTTTTGGTTTTTTTGGTAAGACTGTTGCCTGGTCAGTCATGGCATTTCCAGTACTTCAGACTGTTTCATGTTCATTGTTGCTGAAGGGTATAGCAGTTGAACTCCACCACTCTACAGTTGCCTGATAGTTAGATCCTGAATGTTGAAAAGGAGGAAAGGCTGAGTCTGACCCTACACATCACCTACACTTTACACATAGACTGTTTTCCCTGTGGACAACTCCTGCAAACAGTGCTCCTCACTGGACTGCTCAGCACCTGGAATTGGTAACATGCAAGTTTAAGGTAGCATAGCAGAGCTTCCTGTATGCACTTCATAGCAAAACCTATTATTTACTGTTCATATTACAAGAGCATTGGTGAGTTCTTGTTGGGTACCAGAAAGAGAAGACAGGTGAGACTATCTCTGCCTCAAAGAACCTGCAGTCAAAGATAAGACTGAGTAAGAGATGGATAAGGACACAGTAAGATTTGTGAGTTGACAGACAGGGGACACAGCCTATCAGCCTCATCCCAACTCAAATGTCAGGCAGTTCACTCAGTACACACCTGTGCTGCTTCCTAATGGTGTATCACAGCATACAAGAGTTGTTACAGAACCTTCCCAGCTGGAACTGAAGACAGTAGGTTACTGGTTAACACTTCATTTCAGCAACACACAAAAATAGCTTAGCTTCAGTGCCTTTAAAAGCTTCCTTTTAAAGGGTGTTTACAACTAAAGATTACCAAGAATGCCAGTGCATGAACTGATCTAAGGAATGATTGAAAGTTTCCCAATTAAGCAGCATTTCAGCTATTTAGGAGAAAACAAGTGCTCACAACATATGCTTGAAAACAGGTCAAGACATGTTAGCAATTAACCTATTAAAAGCACATATCCTTCTCTAGTGGAGCCTCCAACAATTCACACAATGCCTAATGTGAGATTTCTAGGGTAGGCATGGGGCAAATTCTTAGAAGAACTTTTCAGCTTTTTATACAAACCAGGAAGGCAGGTATGAGAAATACCTTTTTTTTTTAAAAAAAAGGACCATACTTCTGTTCACACAGTGCTTAGCCATAGAAGGGCTGAGAGGGTCTCCTACTTCCAAGTTTTTTGTGACCTGCTTTTATACATGCACTCCCTGGGAGAATTATTATCTGAGCAAAATGTGCAGCTTCTGTGTTTTCCTTACAGCAACAGCAGACTAAGAGTTGCACAAATGCTACAGCTACTGCAAGGACTTTTTAAGTGCAGCCACTTTCAGCTCAGCACTATCATGTATACAAAGCTTTTAAGCAAAAGCACAGAACCTTATTTTCCCCTGTATTTTTTTCACATGTTAACGAGCCTTTAAAAACCTTTGCGTCTGTGCACTACATTTTGTAGTATTCCAGCATATTGCAGTACTTCCCATGCACTACTATTACAACATAATGCCTTGGTGCTTAACAGCATGCTGCTTGAAGTTACACTTTTTTCAGTTTAGCCTTACTCCATCAAAGATAAAAGTCCTTTCCCATCTTCCTCCACCATTATATCTGGACTATTCAGATAAAATGTTCTTCATCTTTTTGACCTGGTTTACCCTGATTTCACAGCCATATAACAACAGGATCTACCCTGCAGTTCCGGAAAGCAGAGAGCATTTGCAACATGAACAGAAGGCACACTGCTTACAAATGGGTTTTCCCAGACAAGGTTCAGTGAAGCTGAATGTTAGCAGTAGTACTACAGCAGAAAATAGATATTTTAGAGCTGAAACAGAGTCGCTGCTTTACTCTGAGACCCAGGTGAGGGACGGCACTCATTCCTGCAGAACATCACTGTCTCTCTTCTCTTTTTCCCCACGTCTGTTTACACAGCCAGTGCCCTGGAACTCTGCACACAGGAAGCCACAGCATCCACCTAACAGCTGCTACCTCCTCTCACGTGCCAAACTTCAGGATTCACAGCATGCGTGAAGCCAAGAGCATCCCCTCTGCTTACGTTCCCCTATGCCCAGACAAACTCTGGGCCATCACTGGGGTTGAGTTTTCACTTGAGGGCTTGCAGACAGAAATCCAGCTTTGTAAGCAGAGCCTATGATTTACACAAGCGCACTACCCGAGGCAAAAGAGAAGGCAATATGATGATCTCCTTACTTGGGACAGCCACTCGTGAAAACAGAGCAAAATCTTCACTTTTGTGACCAAGAAGCCATTAAAACTTGGTGCTGTGAAAGTTCCTCCTGCCCACACGCAGGCGGCTCATTATCCAGCCCTTTGCTCATATCTACAGACAACCAAGGAAATTCATTTTATCTATTTATCACCATGAATTAAAGATTACAGAAATACTGGCTGAAGAAAAATGTATTGCCAGGATAGATTCTTTGCATTCATTAGAACTGTGTTACTAGAAACATAAATAAGTAATGACTATTGATCTTGCATAACCTCAGAACATCAAACTACAATAAACTAAGAGGAAAAGGACATATCTTAACTGGAATGTACAAACCAAGACAGCACCTCTCAAAAACAACCAAGCAAAGCAAGAGTGGCCCACAATTATAACACCTCGTATTTTTAATCCTAGGAAAAAAAATAATCAGTGGGACAGCACAAGGCTTCCAAAGTATTAATTAAACCTCTGGCAAACAAATTTACCATTTAACCCCGGGATTTTTTTTTTTTCTGGGTGAAGGCGTGTCTGACCCCCCGATATGAATCCACAGCCCGTGAGTCGAGGCCGGTCGCTGCTCTTTCCCGAGTACCGACACCTTCAGCCCCTCAAGCCGCCGGTCTCGCTCTTCCCGTCCCTGCCGGCGGCACCCGGCGGGCTCCCCGCGCCCGGTGGCTGCTGGAAGCGGGACAGGCGGAGGAGAAGGCGCCCGTGGCACCGGATCCCTGCAGCGGTGCCCGGCATGCTTCGCGTTCCAGCGGCGGTCCAGCTCCAACAAGTGCATCGCGCCCCTCCNCCCGTCGCATCAGCAGCGCCCGTCGGCAGAGACAGGGGCGACCGCGGAGCTCGGGGATCCCCGGGCGAAACGCCGTGCTCGGCTCTGCCCGGTCACCCGCGGGGTGGGTTCCGTACCCCCTGACAAAAATCCGTTCGGCCATCTCCTCCTCCTCCTCCTCCTCCTCCTGCGCGTGCAGCAAATACAGTAAATTATTGATAGTGGAAATTGGTGGAGTCAATAATGGTATCCCCTGATTGACTAGCTCCATCTGATCTTGGTAAAGACAGAGAGGTGGCACGCTCCCCGGCTGGGCTGGCTGCGGCAAGTGGGAGCGCACGCGTGTGCTGGCAGGGCGCAGCGCCTTGTGCCACATCCCACGGCAGGAGCGAGCTGTGGGAGAAGAACTGGCTTCACCCCCTGCCTGGCATGGGCTGTGGTAGCCTTGCCTCTTTCCTTCCCTCTTCCCTCACAGGCAAAATTAGAAGCAGCTGATTTGCGGAAGAAGATAGCGCAACTCTTCTATGAATCGGTTAAAACACGTATTTTTCTACACCTCAAAGCCTGACCGCCATCTAATTACAATTAATGCCAAAGGCCCATTCACTCCACACACTTGAGAAAATTTATTTATACTAGGAGAAATGTGTGCAACTCATTGCTGCCCTCAGACAGTCTGATTGCCTGTGTGCTTTTGCTATGAAACACCTGCATTGATCAGTAAAGTAAAGAAAATAACCCAGGTGTTTGAAATTTGAGTACATCTAAGGCCTTCCATATAAACCAGCTTTTAATATATATAAAAGGAATGATTCCTGGTGGTTAATAACTTTTGCAGCTTTAAGAACTTTAAAAAAAAATAAAAAAAATCATGCTTAAGTACCACATCACCATCCTTCTTGCACTTGGGGATTTGGTTTCACGGGTTTGAACTAAAAATGTCAGCAAGCATGAAGACAGTTCTACCTCTTTTGTCTCAGTGTTTTCCAGTCCAAATCAATTTACGAGAAAGGAGACATTTTCAAAGCCTTCTCTAACAGCCTGGGCCTGAGGAATCATGTCCAGCTCTCGCTGGCTGACAGTCACTGATACAGGTAGCTCTTCAGGCCAAGTCCTGCTCTGCTATTTCTGTGTTACTCAAATTCTGCCATTAGGGATATATCAACCATTCATTTTCCCACTCTGATATACCAATATAAGCTTATATCTCTCAGCAATAATTCAGGGTGGATGTTCCAGGGGTGTTTCAAAAACATGGTTATACCTGGAATTTGCTATGTTAATGTCTGCATTTTATTTGTCTGTTTTAGATTTCACTCTACAATACCATTTAACTTTCCAGATATGACTGTATTAGTGTGGGTACCTGATTTCACTAAGGCAGCACATTTTCAGCAGCCTTTTTGCACAGTCATAAAACAGCACAGTTTCAATATTCTGTGTTTATAAGATGGTGCCTGCAAGTATTTGGATGATCTACCAGACAAGTTAAACAGTAGCAGGAGAGGCTACTTTAATCAGCTGTAATGTAATACATTACACACTTGTTATTCCTGGAGGAAAGACTCTTCTGCTAGTACACTAGACATGCAGATGAGCAACAGCAAGTATCATGCTTTAGAAACACTGCTGGCTTTTTCTCAGGAGTGAAGGAAAAGGGATACACTCTGAAAAAATCTGCTTGCAATCAGAACAATTTTTTTTTAAATCTTGGAAAGGAAGCACATTACAGACAGCCTGACAAGTCCTCACTCTGTGGTAAGCTCTTCAGCTCAGCTCTGCTAAGAACATGAGAACCATTAATTCTGTGCAACCATGAAATTCCCATTTTCCTCTGCTACAAACATGTTGCATTTTGCATCTGTGTTGAGATTTTCCCAGAGAAGAGGTGTGGTCAGAGGAGCTGCTGTTTCTTGCTGGTATAATCAGCCCTTTGAGCATTATTACCAGCCAGTGCTTGATTACTTGGAAAATGAAAAAGTAGTGTAAATAATTACTTGTTTGGATTTTTAATGCACATGCAAGTTGGGTTCCATATTTTTTGATCAGACCCTGACATCAAAGAGAATTTTTATGAATGAACCCCCAAAAATTTGGTCCCTGAGGTATTAGTTTGTGAAGCAACTCATAGTCCTCACTGCTCTGCCTGGACCTCCACTCCTTTGTCCATAAGATGCACTACAAATTTAGAGTTTACATAAACCGTGACCTTTGAGATTTGTGGGATACATAGGATGCGAAGATGAAGCATCCTGATGTTTTCTTGACCCAAAAGGAGTTTTGTCTTGTGTCTGAAAAAAGATGTCTTCCAGCCTGTCTCAGGAGCAGCTATGTTCTTCCCATTTGGATTGTACAGATGTCACAAGTAAGAGGCACTTGAAAAGAAAGTCACACCACAGTTGCATGGGGAAGAAAAGGTCAGGCAGACCCTTTTCTGGTGGTTTCAGATAATTCAATGTATCAAGCCTCTTGGTGTTGTCACAGGATGCCCACTTTACAGCATTTACCTTGGAACCAAGTGTTTTTTTCTATTCACGACTAATTAAAATAACCTTTTGCATACACAAATCATACATCACCATTCTCCAAACAGCAACAGGGAAAGAGTATGAGTTGTCAATCAACAAAATGTTGATTCGTCCCTGCAGCAATAGTTTTTGCAGTGGGGTAAGACCATTGCTTTTTGCTAAATTCAATTTAAACTGTAGCATAGGCACTAATGATGCTGTAGGTACTATAAAGAAGAAAGCAGAATCATGCACACCTGGTTTCTGTCTCAGTGGAGGTTTCACATTATAGTGATTGATGTATGAGGTCCAAATTTACTGATAAACTAATTATATGATAAAGTAGTTTGTGAGACTCCTAAACTCCCCCATTGCAATTGTAGGGGAAGCAATAAAAAGTCAATATTTGAAAGGAGTAGCATTCTTAAAAGGTACATAAAAAAGTAATGGCTGATTGAGTCTCCCCTCCCCCAAACTGTGTCTTTACACTCCCAATTTTATTCATGTAGTATCTTGAACTGTTTTTGAATGAGAAAAAGGTCAAGAAGCTACAATTCGGAATTCTTCTCACTTGGCTGTCAGGAAATATAAACTAATCCTGATTACAAAAAGGACAGTGCTATTGATGTACTCGGGTTTTGATGCTACAGGGTTTTTTCTGCTAAAATTTTCAATTGGCTGAAGTAATTTCTTATATCATTACAAGCATTTTCTGTTTAATTATGTTTATTCATGTTTCCTAGTTACCTTTATTTGCTATTTTTTTCACATTAAAGGGAGGAAAAATTCATGGAAATAAACTTTTCCAACTCAAGTAATGCTAAAAATTGCAATGGATATATACACAAGTTATATACACAATCAGGGCTGCAGACAGGGTGCATTTATAAGATGACTGGGCTGTGATGCTGCTCTACAGTGATTCAGTGCTTGCAGCACACACAAGAGAGCTCCTCATTCTCCACACCAACCTCAGTGCACTAGAAAAACTTCAGCATCTTTGAGGACCAAAGCCAAATTCTGCTTAACTTTGTAAAATCTTTGTATTGTAGAGGCTTTAACTGAGAGATAATGAGAGAAAGATGGTGGTGATCACTTCCCCAGTTTACCCCCTGCATTCAGGGGCTGGCCAAGCTGTGGCCACAGCCCCTCCCCAGGTATCAGTGTTAATGCCCTGGGGTTGTTAGGTGGTTCTTGCATCTCACAACCTCAAGGTTTATGTTGAGTTCAACCTACAAAGAGTTGCTGTCGTTCTGGCCTACAAGCAGCTTGCTGGGTGACTAGAATAGACCCTGTGCCTTAAACAGAGCAGTGTAGTTGCTCTTAATTTCAAGCATAATTTCACCTCCAGTGAACAACATTTTTTGAGAGGTCTTTCAGCCTTATTTTAGCAGGGGAAGTATTAAGTGAAACAGCAAAGATGGGAATACAAACCCAAAGATCTTTCCTTAGACATGGTTTGTAGGCTGCACATACCCAGGATAAAGCAGGAAAACCTACTCTGAACCACAGGCACTCAAACCACAACATTTTTCCTGAAGAAAATACCACTTAATAGCTCAGAATTGTCACCCTGCAGCTACAGCAAAAGTGATTTTAAAACTCTAACAAACAATTAAAATAATTGTTCTCATGTCTGCCAGAGGTATGCCAGCTTTCAATCTCCTCTGGCAGGATCTGTATCCTGAGTGTTGTCCCATGCCTTCTAATCAGGGATTTCAGCACAATTTATGTGCATGAAACCACTTCTCTGACAGAGTTCTGTGGTAGATGCAGATTAGTCTTTTGAAAACAAGGAAATGCATGTGTCTATTACACATAAATCTATTAAGCTGCCCATGAATGTGCTTGTTTGGTGAGCACACCAGTTCTGGGTTTGTTCCTTACTACTGCTCATAGTTGGCTCTACTGGCATCATTGTAGAAATAAAATGTGTGATATGTGGCAATTGCCACATGCAATTTTGTGCACTCGCACGCAGAATCCTCCCCATTCAAACCTCTAGGCTTTTCTTTTGGGGTTTTGCATGAACTCCAGGAAGCACAGAAATAAAGGTGAGAATGAAAAAAAAAAAAAAAAAAAAAAAAAAAAAAAAAAAAAAAAAGTGAGGCGAGAATGAATCCAACCCAGCAGAAACATTAAAAGTTTGGTTTGTCATTTCTTCATGCTTTGACATTCACTAAAACTGGCAATTCATCTCCTGAGCCTCTGCCTTACTGCTGTTGTTTTGGAGGCATTAAACACCCATCACCTGAGCAAAGAGGAAAGTATCTGTGTTGTGCTGAAGAGTATCCAGTGTACCAGGTGTCTGGCGTATGGTGCCTGAGCCTTCCTCACTCACCCCTGACCTTCCTGCTTACAGCCCAGCCAAGGCTGCAGCAGAGCAGACAGAAAAGAGGGCATGGCACAACAACAGCAAAAATGCAGACTCTGAGGGTGCAGCAGACATGGGAAGGGAAAAGAAAATCCCCTCTTCTCCAAAGAGATTGCGTGTGATTCCTTGGGATGGTGGAAACCTGAGCCAAGTGTGGAAGGATTAGATGGCTAGAGATGCACTCCTGTGATGAATCAGGCCATTGGAGCTCTATGATTAAAGAAGATCAGAACACTGTTGGTGCACTTGTGGGTGAAAGGTGTTGGGATTGAGTCATCTCTCCTTTCCTCTAAGTATTCAGTGGGTTTCAATTAGAGGCAATATAGTGGATTATTTTTAATATTTAAAGGGATTGGATGCCAGGGGGTTTATAAACTTAGCCAGGCATCTTGTCAGAATAGGTATATGCCTTAGCAAACCCTCCTCAGTGCATAACTTTGAACAACTTATTTTGAGAGCGTGCTAAAAATAAGCAAGCCCCAAAATCCCAGGTCCGCAGCCCTGTGAATGCTCTTTTGTAGTTTATTTCTATTTAAGCAACTAAAATCTCCTCCGACATCAAGCTCAAGCACTCTATTTGCCAGGTGCAGCAGCTCAGCAATATTGCCAGGAGGGTGATGTGCGATAAGAGATCTAAAGCAAACAGTTGGGGAGGGGAGGTGGAAGATGGTGTTTGGCACCAGGGCCAGGAGCTGTTCCGTGGTGCCCACCACCCACAGGGTCCCACTCTGGCCAGGAGCTGGCAGGAGGGATCCTCCTTGGGTACACAGAAATCCTTGGGAATGCAAAGCATGTGTAAACATTAAATAGCTTCTGGCTCTCCTGCCCTTCAGGACGTTCATATTAACGTATTTCATGCTGCACTTAGATAGTTGTCTTCATCTTCCTGAAGAAGTTAAGGTGCTTTGGCTCCATCCCTTTTCAAAGCACAGCCACATCAATGCTTTAAACAAGTGGATGTATTTAAAGATAAATTCAGGATATTTTTTCTTTAAATGACATATTGAGCTATTTCACCTAAGAAACAAAACATAAGAGTTCAAAACATTTTCTATGTTAACCACCTAAAGCATTAAAGAGAGAAGTATCTCTGAAACAGTTGATACTTTTGTTAATTGCAAACTAAAATTATCAGTGCAGCAATAAATACTAAAATGAGTCCTCAAAATGAAACTCAGACCCCATTAGGTTCTCCTCCTCCACTTACTGTGACTTGTGGCTCAAGAAACAAGTACTGATTAGTCACATTAAAGCAAAAATTTCCCTTGACTAAAACATTCCATTTGTATGGTGTCATTTCTGCTTATTGAATACTTGGGACTGTTAATCCTTCAGTAATTTAATGACTGGAACCACGTTGCGTGTAAA